CGTGGAGATCTACTTCTCCCTTCGCCAATTGTCTACTTCCTCGAAGTCCTTGCACATTTCCACAAATGTGTGAGGCACATCCGGTATCTAATACCCATGATGTAGAAGTATTTGTCTTGCTTCATCAAGGCGATTCTGCATGCAAAACCCATCAATCAGTGAAGTATAAGTGATCGTATCTGGAACCAAACCTCTTTGGAGCATCAGCTCGAACAGTTCTTTAGCCTCTAGACACATCCCCTCTTTAATGAATTTATCGATTAATCCGGAGAAAGTAACAACATCGGGCATGATTTTCCTTCTGATCATATCCTCCAAAAATTGTGAGGCGTCGTTCCATCTGCCTGAACTGCAGAGGCCATTAATCAAAGTGTTATACGTAATAACATTCGATACAATTCCTCGACCATTCATGTTACTGAAAACGCCCAACGCATCGTCGATGTTCCCAGATTTGCAAAGACAATCGATAATCGTATTATATGTTACGACAGTGACCACCGTGCACCTTTCCTCCATCGTCTTGACCAAATCCAAAGCTAAAGTAGAATCCCCTAGCTTGCAAATCCCATTCAAAATGGTGTTATAAGTAACAATATCGGGTCGAGAGCCTTTTTCCACCATCCGCTCTGTCAAAGTTACTGCCTCATGAATTCTACCCTTGAGACAAAGTCCGTTAACGACAGTGTTAAATGTTACGACATCAGGTTGAAGTCCCGCATCCACCATTCGCTCCATCAAGCCTAAAGCTGCGGAAACTTCACCTAGGATGCAGAACCCATTGATCAGGGTGTTGAATGTGACAGCACTAGGTTCGTAACCCAACTTCATGATCTGTCCCAAAACCGAAAATCCTAAGACCGCTTGACGTGAGCGACAGAAAGAATTTATCAGAATATTGAAGGTGCACAAATCATGTGAAATCCCGAGCAATTCCATTGATTTGCAAAGCGAAATCACAACATCACACCGTTTCATCTTGGCGATGGCACTCAACAGCATGTTGAAATCGATAATTGAAGGGAGGGGGCGAGACCGAACCATCTGATGGAACAAAGCAACAGCTTCGTGGACATTACTGTCAGCAAACCCACATCTCAATCTCTCTCTGAACGACATATCGCTGTCTCTAACACTAGAGTAAGCCATTCTCCGACAGCATAAAACAGAGGAACAACGTAAGACTGCATTGGAAATACCTTTGTGTGAGAGAGGAGTACGAATGAAGCATGATGCAGAAGACAATGCAACGGCAGCCACTCTCCGAACCATCGGCGACATCGTGAAGCTTCAGAACGAACAGAGAGAAACCTAGAGCAGCTTTAAGGAAAGAGGAGATTTGTTAGTAGTATGCCGAAATACATGAAATTGCAAATCTGCTTTGCTTCTTATACGAACCCTAGAACGAAGTGTAAGAAGAAGAAAGCCCAAATCGTTTGGAGCTAAAGGCCGAAGGAAATGGGCCCTAAATGCTTTCAATTTCAACCAATCCTTTTTCAAACCTGCTCCCATATTTACAAAACATATATACATATATATTTATATATCAGTGTATTTTTGTCAAGTGTATATATATATATATCTCAGTGTTAGGACATAACCATCCAACCAACCACCAAAAAAAATTAGTTGGATATTTTATTCCGACAAAAGAAGTACAGCAAAGGAGCAGGAAAAAAATGATAATCGAACTACTACATTTTTTTTATTAAGACTACTAAGATATGGAATGGTGCATCTACGAATGAAATACCAAAAGAAGTAAAAGAATGGAGGAAAATACGTTAATTTATGAAACCTAACATACGGAATGTACTTACCTTGAACTGTTTTTAAACCCTAAACCATTGAATATAAACATCTAATCGGCATCTTAAAAATATTATATAGTATCCGTATCGTTTCAAATAAAAAAACAAAGAATTAAGATTATTATCGGTTAAGCTCTTTCGGTTATGGTTTGGTTATGCTCAGCTTTTCGGTCTCTGGTTTAGCAGACAGATTGCAAGGCTATGTATTACTCACGGTTTCTCTGATCTGTATACACTGAGAAAATTTCTAAAGTTCTTTTTTCGTAAACTTTCTTTCCTCTGCAATATCGAAAAAGGTCAATATAATAGTGGAATATATGAATCCGATCATATACGATATTATATATAATCAGTAATTGTGTTTGTCAAGCTATATATTCTGAAGGAAAACAATTACGAAGTCGAATTTAATTTAGTAATGGGAAATAATAAGAACGAGTGGCGTGGGTGGTTTAACCGTAAGAGCACAAATGGAAGACTAAATTTCACTTGAATGGAAACAATGTAGGATCACATGGGAGAAACCCCATATAAGTTGTTTAAATACTTACCATTTCATCTTAATGTTGGGAATTCGAATCGTCTTAAATTCCTCATCTATATATGAACATTATAGTTATGGATAACTTAGATTGGTTTACGTCTCTCATACAGTTTGCATGTTATTACATGATGTGGAGATTTATCTAGGGCGTACCCGAATGATAGTAATTGCGGATTCTCATGTCATAAAAAAAATTTAATACATATACTCGAATTAAAAAAAAAATAGTTAACATATCTTAGAGGCACTTTAGTGAAGGACATACAAAAATCCATGAAATCCATGTTGCATCAAATTTGGGCCATTAAGACATATGAGACATTGGACACTTAGTGTTTTAATGGTTATTTTATTTCAATTTGGGAAACAACCAAACATAAACCAAGAGAGGCCAAGACCCTATATTCCTAGAACCCTATATTCCTCCATAGACGTTTTTTTTTTCATTTTTTTTAATAATTTTCTATTTTTTAATAAAAAAAGGTTGAAAATTGTGACATATTTTAAAAGATGCTAGTATGTTTTCTTTTGGTTAAGGGCTCCACTTCTCTTAGCATCATCACATCTACTTTATAAAGCAAACAAAAATTTAGATACCAATGGGATGATAATTTAGTTAATTCACATATCTTTCCCACAAGTGCATCATTGGCTCCTTACAAAAGGGCTAAGAATTCCAACAACTACAAAAAAAAAAAAAAAAAAAAAAAAACAAAACCACAAGTGCATCATCTATATTTTGGGTTTGAGTTTAATTTTATGGATCGTTTGATATCATTTAATAAGAAGATTGAGGTAATGTGATAAAATTGGAAATGATTAAAAGTGAGAATTATTCAGTGAAACTAAGACACATAAGCAGACATTTTAAAAAAAAGTTACTATTTTTATGGATGGGGGGGGGACAATGCCCATGGGGGTCATTGATCATTTTTCAAAAGCTTTAATGATTTGCGTGGTGTGATTTTTATTTTGTATTAATGCGGTGTTAATAGTTCTTACTATTTAATGTTTGCCATTTATATTATGTTATCGTTCAGTTATTATTAAATGTTTTGACTTTCGTTATTTTAAAAGGTTTAGTTGAGCAAAAATATGACACAAGTCGCTTTGGTCGTTATGTTGCGAGTTTGACAATTGAGATCTGTGAAATCATCAAATAGAGAGCAGGTTACGAGCTTGCTAGAATTAAATTTAAATTTAAATTCGATGATTACAAATATTGTTAGATATTTTAAGTGCGATTCAATAGCATAATCAACATGGTAGTTAATGGGCCGTTGATGTTGTTGTCATTAAATATGGCATAAAATTCTTATATTTTTCTACCAACTATAGGCCCAGGTTTTATAAATTTTAATTGAGGGGGAGAAACAACATGCGATTCTATTATCCATTTTCACGCCAAGCAAACATGAGGAAGTGATAAGAGACAGAACAGACATTAGAATGATTGATGCAACCAGAGTAGGTTTCATGGTAACCTTATTGTGACGTTTTCCTCAGCAAGAAGACTTTGATAAGCTGACTTTTGTATCAAAGACGAAGTTGACACTCCACCTCATCTTTCATCATAACCTTACCGGGCTGTCTGCAAATCATCCAAAGAACGATCAGATTGGAACTCCTTGAAGGTCTCAACGCATTTGATATCCAAATCCAAATCTATAGGCCAGAAAAAACAACCCACCTCCTACTCAGACGATTGCCATCACAGGAAGCAAGGCCCCGTTATCAAAGAGAATCCAAAAACTCTTGGCCCAACCTACCGTCACATAGCATATCTACCACAATCTTTATCGTTGACGCATCTGCAGAGAACCCGCATCTCTTCTTTTCTTTTATAAGTTTGATACCCTTTAACGTGTATCCGTGTTTTAGATAACCCTGGATCAATGCGTTGTATGTACGATCATTCGGCATACAACCAGTCTCTTTCATCTCACTAAATAACTTCTCGGCTTCCCCAAATAAACCTCTCCAACATAGTCCCGAAATCATCGTACTATATGTTATCACATTTGGTTCCACCCCTTTATCCGAAAGCAGATTAAACAACTGCAATGCCTCATCAATCTTTTTCGCCTTGCACATGCCATGAATGATAATATTGTGTACAACTATATCAAGGCTCATCCCATCCTTTTCCATCTTGCTGCACAATTCCAATGCCTCTTCAAGTTTTCCATTTTTACATAGC